TTCCGACTCTCAGAATTGTATGATGATAAATTTGTGGATTAAAAAAATTTTTTCATATTCTTTTCATGAGCTATAATTCATTTACAGTAAAGTGCACAGATACTAAGTGCATAACAGTGAATTTTTACAAATATATGTCCTCATATCATTGACTCCACACAGTAAAGGTAACAGTATTTCAACTACTCCAGAAGTTTGCCCCATGCTACTTTGTAGTTAAGCTCTGCATCCTGTAGGTAATCATTGTTCTGATTACCTTATTAGTCATTTCTGAGGGACACGATTTCTATTAGCATTAGAACTTCCTGTGTTTTCATATTTTATACAAATATATGTATTATTTTATATTCTAAAGAATTGTTTATATTTTTTATAATTGAGAACACAACAAAAGACTTTCAAATGCCCAGGCCAGCTCAAGCTCAGGTGAACTTGATCACTTAAGAAACTTCTCTGGCTATGGGGACCGAGGGCACATCCCTTTCTGGGAGCAGTTTGTTTAAAGCCATTTATTAAGCATCTACTATGTGTGAGCTGCTTTTTATACATATTTATAGCAGTTCCTTCTAGCATGGGCATTGTTATTTTCAACGACAGATGAGGAAACCAAGCAGAGGAAACAGAGCGGAAGACACAAGGTATCTTGCTCAATTCACAGTTACTAAGTGGTGAAGCAGGGATTCAAACGCGGGTCTCTCTGACCTCAGGGCCTGCAGTCAGAGATCCTGGAGTGGGTGTGATTAAATAAAGGGATGCCTGTGAGTGTTCAAGAGGTGGTAGTGGTATGATGAGAAAAAAAGAGAAAAGCAGGAGCCAGAAGCCTGGTCCCATCACTAACTTCATTCATTCATTCATTCATTCATTCAATCAATCAATCAATCAATCAATCATTCAACAGATATATATTGAGCACTTTCTGTGTGCTGAACACTGTTGTAGGAGCTGGCGAATGATGCAGTGAACAAATATACAACCATACCTACCTCATGGAGTTTGTGTTCTTGTTGGGTATGAAAGACAATAAACAAAATATATTCGGTTTCTTTCCACAAGATTTTGTAAGAGAGTCTCACAAGATGTCTGTAGAGGATAGTATAGTATAGCCAGAAGAGCATGGGCTTTGATGTCAGGGTTCCCAGGTTTGAGTCCTGGCTCTCCCACTTCCTGGCTGTGTGACTCTGGGGAAACTACTCAACCTCTCTGAGCTTCCGTTTCTTCAAGTGTAAAATGGAAATAATAATCCATAGATTGTTAGGATGAATAAATGAAATATATGTGTAAAGCCCAAAGTAGTCGAATACCATGGACCGGAACACTTATTATTATGGATGCGGTGGCCCTGAGGCCACCCTGAGTTCTCAGAATCTGTGATTCCCTGAAGAAACACTGGCTTCTGAGTCACAGATGATGGAGGTGTCTTTCAGGGAAGCCACTTATTCAGCTCTGTTCAGCCATCCGACAGGACCCTCTTTTCACACTCCCAGTACAAGTGGTCCTGTGCACTGAAAACAGGCCATCATGCCTCCTAATTTCCTGAAATGACACGTGGACGCTTTCTGTTCAGAGGAACAAAGGAGTGGGTAAGGAGAGAGCTGCGTTTAGGAAAAAGTGGAGCCCCAAGGAGCTGTGTGCAGCTGCAGACTTAATCTCAATTAACAAAAGCCACCTGGGGGCCGGGCTGCGCAGGGCAGACTGGGGCCCGCTTGTTTGCAGGCTGTGGGTTGCCAGGGCTTTGTCAGCAGCCCTCAGCGAGGGACTTGCAGGGAGATTTTATTTGCTTTGCCTGGATGCCAGCCCTGTCAGGCAGCCTTCACTTTATCACCTGGCCTACATCTGACCACTGTGTTCCGAGTGGGGCCAGGTTCGTGGAGGCTGGGAAGGGGGAATTTTAAACAGACTGTTCTTTCATCCTTAACACTGCTGCTCCCAGACTAGTGAATTTCCTTCCCTAAAACCCCTCACCACACACACACACTCACTCCTCTTTGTACTTAGTCCCTTCACGCACTTCTCACAGTTCATATATTCACAGCCTTTTGACTAAGTCAGCCTCTCGTGGGTAATGGAAATGCCAGGCAGATCAGGAGCTCTGTTAACTCCTGCTGACCACAGCATCCCCACAGTGTGGGTCCTTGTCACAGTCAGGTGGGCAGATCTAGCAAATAAAAACGCCAGATGTCCACTTACATTAGGAATTCAAATAATGAATGATTTTCAGCTAAAATATGTCCCGTGCCATACTTGGGACATATACTAAATATTCTTGGCTACTTATCCGAAGTTCAAATGTAACTGTGCATCCTGTATTTTATCTGGCAGCCCTAATTTCAACTCGTCTGTGAGGCTCAGTAAAAATATACATGAAACGAAGAAGGGAACGAGGCTAATGCATGATCAGAATCAGAAATGCAAATGCAGATGTTTTGCTGGAAAGTACACACCAACATCTTAGGGGTGGTTATTTCAAGGTGATAAGATTATTGGAGAATTTTCAGTTTTCTATGGGATTTTCTGGTTTTCAACTTGACTGAAGTGAGAAGTTTTCAAATATCATATATGTATGTATTTATATCTCTAAATACATACACACTCTTAAAAAAATAAAAACTTGCTTACAAGAGAATCGATTGTGTTTTCTCTCAGCCTGACACCCAGAATTTTCTGAGTAAGGGACATTTGGGGCATCCATGAGAAGATTATTGAAAGCAATATGGCGACATCTACACAGCATATCGGTACACTAGAATACAAAGGAGTTCAAAATATATTGCTGTTAATTTATTAATAGTACAGTACTTCTTAAGAAAACTGGATCCTGAAGCTTTGGGGATGTAAAAATAAGTCTAGTTAAACCCAAGACTTAAATCTTGATGAAGTTGATTGTTTTTGTTTTGTTTTTTTGATCTGCAGAACAAGAGTGGAAAACAAAACAAGACAAACTGTAAAGTCTTACAGAGAATGAGTTGAAGACTATCCCTCTCCTCCACAACAACACAACTTCCCATGATGCTTTGGGGCCAAGCACAATTTAAATTTGTCTTTTGGGTGTTCGGTGATGGGCACGTTCAGAAGGCTACACCGTAATGGAGCAAGAAAGAAAAAGAACTAGAATTTTTAAGATGCTTACTACATGCTGGGCACTGAGCACAGAGAGCACTTTGTCTCACTTCATTCATAAAAACAACCCCCGTTGCACACATTAACCCCATCTGAGAACAATGTGCCTCACTGATGCTAAAGCACAGTCACACCTCCAGAAGTGCTGCAAGGTGCTGAATCACTTACATTTATTATGCTGTACTTGCTAAGGCACAAAGCATGTCTTAGAAGGAATGCATATGCTTTCTGAAGATCTTTAGCTCAGGGTTTGAAAGGCAAAGGTTCTCTGCTGTACTCTGAGGCATGGTACCCCTCCCAGGTTTCAGCTCTGTATGTGGTGCTGGAATCATGGGGTGGGGGGTGGGGCATCTCTTCTCTCAATATTCGCAGTGCCCAATGTTCCACTGTGAGATTCAGTGTGGGAAGATGGGAAGGACGGGCTAGATGTCATGTTGTCACCAAGCCAGCACGCAGGGAGAACACAATGTCGGCTGGAATGACACTAGCAAATAGCCAGGTCTGCAAACTGTGGCCAGCTTCAAGTCTCCCACCACCCATGTTGCAGCAAAACATGGGACTAGAACGCCAGGAGCCTCACCTACTCGGCGATGAGAGGCACGCAGGAAGGGTGGGATGCTAAGTCTGTCTTAGTGAAGGGTTCCTGGTCTTAAAAAGAGGACATGACTTGGTTGAACGTTTGAAGAAGGAAAATGTGACTCTGAACAAAAAGAGCCTGAGAAGCAAGAGTACTTCCTCATTCTCGGGATGGGGAGAGACTGAGAAGAAGGCAGTCCGATGATTGCTACGGATGGGAAGAAAGAGCTGCCTCCATTTAACCCTTGCCCTGGCAGCATCCGGAGTAGGCCACTCTAAAACACCGACCGAATACCCTGAGCCAGAATCAGACTCTACCACGTCTCAGTAGCGCATAGACTATGGCAGACCTGTTTCCAAGTCACACAGAACCATCTTCCATTCCACGGTGGCGGAGAGTGTTTGAGCAAATTGTAGGTTCAGTGGAGTGTGGTAATTAAACACGGAGACAGGTTTAATGCACTGATTCCTCCAGAGGAATGTCCCCAAACACACAGTGACATTTCAATTACTTTTCCATTAGTAGTCTCTGAATAAAGACCTTTTTTCTTGCCTTCGCTGGTAAGTAAGCACTGCTTGGTGTGCATATTTAAATAACAGTCATACTGAATTAGCCTTAAGAATTGGCTCTTCACAGAATGGCTGCATTAAAATGTAGAGCAAAAGGAGACAGCCACAGAAAGACCCCCACGCTTACGAAATGAGCGGGAAGTAATAGATAACGCAAGCTTCGCCGTTTTCTAAGCCTTGGATCGTGTTGATGGCTTTGAGAGCAGATCCCATGGGTGAGCTCCAGCTCTGTTAAAAGCTGTTTGGTGAGAAAGGCAGCACCTAGCCTTGCTGCAAGAAAACCAGTTTGTTGTTTTGTTTTTTTTTATGTTGCCAATCATTTTAAGGAGAAAGTGCTTTGTACAAGTTCTAAAAGTCAACCTGAAGTCAGCCAGTGATGACATGCTTTGTACCCAAAGTCTCTGCCCCATGTTTAATGGGGGGAATATATCTAATGAGTGAGAAGACATCTGAACTCATTCCTTCAACCTATTTTATTACAGTACTTTAAAAAATAAAATTTGACCCTAAGGGCAAGAGAAACTGATGACTGGACCAAGCAGTATTTATGGGGGGCAATAAAACAACTCTTTTGTTTTATTTTCAAGTCAAAGACAACAAGGAGAACAAAAGTCCTCGAGGCAGACCCTAGTAAGGACTTTGCAAATGCACACCTAGGAAGTAAGCTACATTTATGGCACAATATTGAGGGTGACGGTGGGAGTGTTTGCATTCAGAGGTGCAATAAAAGCACTTACCATAAATTGACCAGGAAAGGGTGCTCCAGACCCTGCATGATCTGGAGTTCCTTGAAGACGTTTCTCACTTCATTGCGCTCCACACACTTCTGTTTGTTCATGTATTTCATCGCGTACATCTTCTTGGTATCATTCTTCTGGACGATGCAGACCTAATGGCAAACCAGAGTGAGAAAGTGACTAGCGAGATGATGGATCATAGCAGTGAGCGACAGAACAAGACTCCTGCTTCAGCATGGCTTGGAGACCTTGTCACTTGCAAATTCTCTGATGCTCAGGTTGCTACTTAGTTCTGATTTCAGAGTGAAATATTTCAGTTTCTTCCCCTGCACCAGGTCAACTCCTACGTCTCTGCTTTCTCAAACTAGTTCGCCTGTTTTTGCTTTGAGTATTTTTCTTTTTTTTAAATAGCATTTTGGAGAAAATAGTTTCCTCCTTGTCAGGAATCTTCCCATAGCAAATGACATCCTTATTCTGCTTTGCATGACTTAAATGAATGGGCTGAACTGTCAAGCTGAACAATATTGTGCAAAGAATTTCTGTTCACACCTACAGGTGATATAACTAACCAAAAAAGACTTTCAGCACTAGGAGAACACTAAACACAATGTCCATATTTTAAAAAAAATTTTAGAGGTTCATATAATGCCTGCTAATGTAGACAGCAAATCATTTTAAAATGCAACTTCAATATGAAATATTGAAGACACATATCCACTAAGAAACTAATAATCAGGATTTGAATCTAGAATGTTTGTACAAAAAGTTAAACAGGACATATATAGTTTTTATGGTAGGTTCTCTTTTTAAAATAAGAACATGATACAACTTGGGGAAAACAGAAATCAGATGGCGTCTTTCCCACGTGAAAAGACTGAATGCTGACATTGACGGGATAAGTTACTGAATGTCCTGGTGCAGTTCCAAGGTGATTCTGAAACCTCGCTCGCCCCATTAGAGTAGAGAGAAAGTCTTAAACCCCAGAGAGAGGAAACGGATTTGACTTGGAGATAATTCTGAGATGTGCATTATGGAGCTGCCTGACCCCTGCTTTCTGCAAATGGAGGTGACACTTATATAAAAAATCCTTGATAAAAACATCTCTGGATTATCTTTCCCTGTGGCCCCAGGAATTTCGTAATTGAGCATTGTTGGACGCTCTGTCCCCTGGGCCACGTGACCCTGCTGGTGCTCAGTCCTTCGTGTTCTCACCTTCCCAAAGCTGCCTTTTCCAATGGCTCGCAAAATTTCGAAGTGGTCAAAGTTGACTGTAAGACAAACAGAACATTATAAGTGATTACCAGTTGTCCTTTAGTAGCTAAGAAATAATAAATAAAGATGAGTCTAAACCAAAGTACCTTATTTAAAACAATATTCCAGACTACCTAAAAATGCCCATCTGCTCATCCAGTAAATATTTCTTGAACAGTGTAGTATATTATGCTGTGATCACAAGGCTTTATACTGGGGGACACAGTAATAATAGAATAGAAATCTAATCTCTACCTGTATGGAGACTGTAGTCTAGTGAGGGTTCCATAAAGACAGAAACCCTGGCCTGGCCAGTGTGGCTCAGTGATAGAGCATTGACCCATGCACCAAGAGGTCGCCAGTTTGATTCCCGGTCAGGGCACATGCCTAGATTTCGGGGCTCAATCCCCAGTAAGACGCGCACAGGAGGCAGCTGATTGATGTTGATGTTTCTCTCTCACCCATATTTTTATCTCTTTCTCCCTCTCCCTTCCTCTCTAAAATTAATAAAAACATTATAAATAAAACCTTTGAGAATTAGATAGTCACAAATCTGCTGAATATTAAGAAGATAAAGTTGTGGGGCTCTAAGAGCATGCTATGCAATTTCACATGGATGGTGAGGTCAGGGGGAGCATCTCTGAATACAGATGATTACGGGGAGATTTGGTCCTCTATGGATCTGGCTCTTCTAAGGATCTTTAAATATCTTTTTCCTGCCTATTTTTCCCCCTATAACCACTCTTTTGTATCTTAATCATTTCAATTTCTTGAAGTAGGAAACTATTACACTCATAAATTCATAGATTGAGCCGAACCCCAAAGTACAAATCTAAGAGATTAGTGTGACTATGTGACCAGAGTCTACTGAATGGTGCTAGGAAGTCAAGATGATCTGTTACACCTTCCATTTGAACACTTGAGCTCCGGAAGTCACAGGCAGTAGGTGTTTACAGGTGCCGTGGTCTTTTGAGTCAGTGCTTGTGAGATGCTTGGTGATGAGAAGCACAAAGGATAGATTCTCTTGGGTGACAGTCTTTGGTTTCTTGCCTTGATCATTTTGAGAAAATATCCCACTTTGTTTCTTGGTTTTTGAAATAAGGATTGAGATGAGTAAAATTCCAAATGAGTGATTATAAGAGCTTTTTTGGAAAAGGTTGGGAAACACTAAAAGGGACCACTCTTGTCTTTGAAGATGTATTTTGTCTGTCATTTTAAATTTTTTTGATAATTAGATTAGCTCTTCCCAAAGGAAAGAGAAATAAAGAAGGGGACCTTGTAAGGTTTTTTCAAGATTTCTGGGGGGTCAGAGCATTTTTATGATATGATTTGTGGATGAAAAGGGGGGCACTTACTAAACCTGACAAGCTCAGGGGAGGCCTGCATGGTGGCCTTACAAACTCAGAGACCGAAAGTAAGCACAGAGGATGGTCTGAAATGAAAACTCCCTAACTAAAAGCAAGTCATAGGACGCCATGTCCGAGGCGGGCAGCTTCCTTGATAAAGGTCAGTCTTTGCCTTATGTGAGCATGTCTATTGTGTTTTGCATCTATGATAACATAGCTTTGGAATGTCAGAGTAGTCCCCTTTTTCCATATTTCTTAGGGCACAGCCTAACCAGAGCACAGACCCCAGAAGCCCTCATTGTTATCTCCTTCCCCTGCATACCATCTCCAAGTGCTGTCAGCGCCAACTGTTAACTGTCCTGTCCCCACCAACGTGAAAGAAACGTGTGTCTATGTTTTACTTCTTATCTAATCTCAGAGATTTCCCCGCTCTGCTGTTTCCCGTCTTCCTAATCTACCCCCAGCGGAGTTCGTGTAACCTCCTTACATTTTTCCCCTTTGATTCTGATGAGTAAAATAAGTGGTAAAATTGCTATTTTTCCGGAGCACTTCTCAATCTGCTGAGGTTTTGCTTCCTGGCAATTGTCCTGGCTCAAATAAACTCATAAAAATTCTCTTCAGGTCTGGACATTGAGTCATCACTTTCTCCTCTGCGCTCCCAAATCACTCCATCTCTAGCACAAAAGCCACTGAATCATTGAGGCGGGATGCACATTGCAAAAATCCTGGATTTAGACTCACAATAATCATATGGCTTGCCCTGGCCAGGTGGCTCTGTTGCTTGGAGTGTTGTCTCGCACACTGAAGGGTCTCAGGTTCAATTCACAGTCAGGGCACCTACCTCGGTTTTGGATTCAATCTCCATTTGGTGTGCGTACGAGAGGCAACTGATCAATGTTTCTTTCTTTCTCTCTCTCTCTCTCTCTCTCTCTCTCTCTCTCTCTCTCTCTCTCTCCCTGCCCCTTTTTCTAAAAATCAGTGAACGTGTCCTTGGGTGAGGATTAAAAAATAAAAATAAAAATCGTAATGTGACTTGAGGCTCCTCCATTTCCCCATCAATAAAAATGCAACTGACCCTCCTAGACCAGGAGGAAATACCTCTTCCTCAGAGAACTACTGAATTTGTTCGCTTACTTAACAGAGTCAAGTGAATGACTTTATCTTCCCAAACTCCTTGAATTCCGGTTTTGTCCATCAACTGGAGATTAAGTCCTATGAGAGCAGAGATAAGAAGTCATTTTGCTCATCCTGATTCCTCTGGCAACTCAGAAAATTTCTCTTTGTATTTATTTCCTATCGAGCCTAGCACAGTGAGTTGCAGTGGTTGGCTCTCAGCGAATAAACCAAACTAAGCTGTGTAATACACAAGAACCCCCGACAGTTGCATCTTGTAAATACAAGCAGCGTGAGCATTTGCGTTTTCTAAGGAAGTGTTTTTTTTAAACTGAGTCAAGAACTACTAATGAGTTAGAAAATAAATTAGCAATTAGAAGCATTGAAATTTTAAATGGAATAGAATAAAAATATCAAAAGCACCTCAAAGGTAGTCAGAGTAGTATCTCCTTTGAAACTGGGTGGGGGTTGGATTATACACATGTAGATAGATATGGACTGGATCATGATATTATTTGGAGGTATACTTCTTACTGTGGGTTATAATAAAAATAACTTAAAACCTCCTATAAATTTTCTCTTGAGTTTTAAACCAATATAACCCAAACAATGATTTTCTCACACTCATTCCATGAGGCCGAATTATACATTATGTACCATGGAAGTGTTTTAAAAATAAAAATTGACCAGAATTTATCTTGAGCCAACCCAATATCTCACTGTGATTTCTCCACTAGCAGCCTTGCCCTAGAAAGCTGGGATGACATTTTGCAACTCCGAGCCTACATTCGGCAGGTACCTAGAAAATGTGAAGATCCATTATGATAGTGATCCCTTTCAGGAACCATGGGTCTTTAGAAGTCACTTGATGTTTGGGTGAAAATGATAAAGGATTAGATGCCAGGTTCCTGATACCTTTCTACCAGCAGAGCTACCTTAACATCAGGTCAGGTACCGGAAAAGTGACAGGCCTTAAAATTCTAGGGATAATGCATCTTATGTATGCCTTCATTTCAAGTCAGTGAAAGAAAGAACAGACTCCAGTCTAATACAAGAGTGTCTGAGGTCACTTCTATGTATAATAATATACCAAGGACAAAGCCAGTGTCAGATTAAAAGTGATGACAAGAAGCCTGAAACACCAATCAGGAAGAATGCATGCACCCCTATGTTCATAGCAGCACTATTTACAATAGCTAAGATCTGGAAACAGCCCAAGTGTCCATAAGTAGATGAGTGGATAAAAATCTGTGGTACATGTACACAACGTAACACTATGCAGCTATAAGGAAGAAAGATCTCTTACCCTTTGAGTCGACATGGGGGACCTGGAGAGTATTAGGCCGAGCAAAATAAGCCAGTCAGAAAAAGACAAATATCACATGATCTCACTTATTTGTGGAATATAATGAACAAAATAAGCTGATGAACAAAATAGATCCAGAGACATGGAAGTAGGGGACAGACTGACAAACCTCAGAAGGAAAGGGAGTGAGGGGGAGACAGGAGATAAACCAAAGGACTTATATGCGTGTATGAACAGCCAATGGACACAGCAGTGTGGTGGGGGCAGGGGCAGCAGTGGGGAGGAGGGAGTCAATGGGGAAAAAAGGAGGAACATCTGTAATACTTTCAACAATAAAGATACATTTTTTTTAAAAAGTGATGGAGAAGAGCCCTTATTCCATCCTTACAATCACTTCTTTCATTTTTTTTTATTGTTTTCCTAAATTCTTTTTTCTATATTGATTTTATTTTATTTTTTTTTATTTTTTTTTTTTAATCCTCACCCGAGGATATTTTTCCATTTTTTGTACAGATAGAGTGGGAGGGAGAGAGAGGAAGGAGAGAGAGAGAGAAACATCGACGTGAAGGGACACATCGAGTGGCTGCCACCCACACGACCAACCAGGGCCGGGGACAAACTGCAACCGAGGTACATGCCCTTAGCGGGAACCGAACCCGGGTCTCTCTGTACTGCAGGCCGACACTCTAACCGCTGAGCCAAACTGGCCAGGGCTCTATATTGATTTTAGAGAAAGAGAAAGGGAGAGGGAGAAAGAGATAGAAATATCCATGAGAGAGAACATCGATTGGCTGCCTCCTGCATGCTCCCCACACTGGGGATTTGGCCCACAACCTGGGCATGTACTCTGACCAGGAATCGAACCAGCAACCTCTTTATGCCTGGGTTGATGTTCGATCACTGAGCCACACGGCTGGGCTTTTACTGTTTTCAATTACAGTTTTATTCGACATTGCTTTGTATTGGTTTCAGGTGTACAGCACAGTAGTCAGACAGTCATATATTCACTAAGTGATCCCTCTGATATTTCCTGTACCTACTTGGCACCGTACACAGTTATTACAATATTATTGACTATATTTTCTATACTTTACATCCCGGGGGCTGTTTTGTAACTACGGATCCGTACTTCTCAATCCCTTCACCTTCCAGACTTTTTTTAAATGTCCAATGACAGCATCACTAGTTATGAAGAAGGCTGGTTGAAAGTGCAACCAAGCATCTTAAATCAGACAAAATGAGACAGAGATGA